CAGTTTTTCCTTTTCTAAAATATGTATCTATTTTTTGACATCTTTTGTATTATGCACTCTGATATTTTCTATTCTATGTTATGTCATTTTTAAAATGCTAGTTACCACCAAGGAATAGAGAATAATTTTTTAAACAGTCAGGAGATGGATACAGGAGGCCTACTAGGCTGACAATAAAAATTCCAAAATATTAACAGAGATAATAATTTTAAAAAGAACTAGAAGAAAACTTTTTTCAGAGGAACAAAGGAATTACCTGGTTTCATGCAAAATTTAAAATAAAAGGTCCACATGTTTTCAAAACTGGTTTGAAGATAATACTGATTCAAGGTGCTCATTAAAAATACACATTGCCAAGTCCAGCACAGATCTATGCAGATTCTAGTTGAGTAGTTCCTGGTCTGCCCAAGAATTTGCATTACCACCTAGCTCCTGGTACTGCCAATGCCACTGGTTCGGGAACAGGTTCTAAAGTCATTTCTGGCTGCAGTTAAAGTTCATATGCCTCCCAATTCACTTTTTAGATACAAAATGCTAATACTAAACCCTGATCCAGAGAGGAAAATATAGTCTGGATGAGCTGTCATATGGTTAGTAACAAATTAACCCAAACACCTTTGTCTTAGCACAACAAAAGTTTATTTCTTGTTCATGCTGCATGTTCATAATGATTTGGCAGGCGCCTGTGTTACACAGTTACTTGGGAACTCAAGGTGATGGAGACCTGGGTGCCATCTTGTACTTGCATGATTTTGGAATATGGAGACTTTGCTAGGTGTTGGAGGGAGAGGCAGAGAATACAGGGAGAAGTCTCTCTCTCTCTTATCCTCTCTCAAACACACACACTTCTATGCATCGGACTAGAAGTGATATGTCATTTCCACTCACAACCTGACTAAATTAGTCACAAGGCTCTTCCTGATTGCAAAGGTGGGGGGAGGGGTAACTAGGAAAAGTGATAGATTATATGGGCTATATATATGTGTGTGTGTGTATACATATATATACAGACATGTATATATGGCATTGCTATAGGAATAGCACATATATACACATATTTATATGGTATTGCTATAGGAATAGAAAAAATGAAATAGGGAAGACTGGAGAATATAAAGTCGCATATGTTTAAAAACTTAATCTTTGACAAGGATAATGGTTTAATTTGCTAGAAAATGAATGGAGCTGTCAAAACTAGTTATCTGAAAGAAAATTAAATACCTTTATTTACTTTCAATAATATAAAATATATAATAATCTCCAGATGAATTAAAGTTTTAAATGTAAAAAAAGAGAAAAACATTTTAAAACTACCAAGAAAAGTCTAGGAGACTGTCTGGAAAAAATAGGATTTGGGAAGACTTTTTAAAGCAAAACTAGAAAACCCAAATGCCTTTACAGCAAATATAACTCTATTTTTTCTCATTTTTGTGAGAAATATATAAGTTCAAAGGAGAAATAATAGCATTAGAAAAAATTGAAATATTCATGACAAGCGAATTATTTATACCTATAAGATACCAAGAGCATTTAGAAAAAAAAATGGCTAGAAAACAATTCAATAGAAAAGAAACAAGGGATGTGAATGACAATTTAAAAAAAGGACAATCCAAACAGCTAAAAAAGTCTTATAAAAAGTTTAAATTCTCTAGTAGTTAGGAAAATGTCCACCCTCTCATAGCAATGTTGTAGCATTTTACAGCCACCAGACTAACAAAACTAACAGTGCTGAAGTTTTTGTGGAAGGCAATCTGGCAACATTTAAATATAAATAGAAACATACAACACACATACAGATATGCATATGACTACACTCCATATAAATATGACCTGTTACCCAGCAATTCCACTTTGAATCTGCCCTATAGAAAGAAAACATTATTGTAGCATTTTCTTTAGTGGTAAAAACTGGAAATGAAGTGAATTTTCATGAATATGTAAATGAGTATATAAAGTATGGTGCATCCATACCATAAGAATAATATTTAATAATTGAAAGGAATGAGTTAAATCTGCATTTGCTGACTCTGAAGCATTTGGACAATGGTTGAAGTAAGAAAAACAAAATGCAGACAGACAGCAATGAAAATCTTTTATTTGCATTTAAATGCATGAGTATTACTCGTTTGTATTTCTGTCTACATAGTATTAAAGACCCTGTGCAGATAAGGAAGGATTTATATTACATTGTCCATGGGATTTATGTGGAGGTAGGTGTTGCTGTGTTGTGTGTTAAGTAGAGAGTTCAGTGGAAAGAGGAGCCAAAGGATAAAAAACGCAGCTCTTGGAGGAAAACAAGATGCACAAATACATTTGTGCAAAGTGATCACTGTGTGGGAAAGAAAGTCATTGCTTTATTGTGGATGGGAAAATCCTAGAGAAAGTGCCTAATCCCGTCATGTGTGAGACCAGAGAACACCTGCTGCTGCTGTATGGCTGAGGCTTTTTTTTTCCTTCAGTTATGAACCCATCCCGAGTATGCTTTGTTTTTCGTAGGGAAGAAACTAATTTTGGTAAATCATAAGTACTCCTAGGATATGCCTAGAAGAACCCAGAGCAGAAAGGACAGCAGCCCAGGCCAGCCTGAAGAACACAGCAGTCCCCCTCAGAATGCAGAGCCTTGAAGGTCAGCGTAAGGAATGCTAATCTTAGTCTAAGTGAGCTGGGAGGTCTCTGTGTAACTCTAGGCAGAGAAACATGGTTTGACTTACCAAACCTCTGCCTGGAATAGTCTCCTCCCTTCCACCCTCAGCCTCTTCCCACCCTAACTCACTCTTCAGACTTTTCCATGGACGAGAATTTCTTCCCTCCACTCTGCTCCCCTCATTGTCTAGATCAGTGGTTCTCAATCTTCCTAATGCCGCGAGCCATAAAAATTATTTTCGTTGCTAAGGTTGGGGGTCACCACAACATGTATTAAAGGGTCACGGCATTAGGAAGGTTGAGAACCACTGGTCTAGATGAAGTGGCCTCCCTGCGCTCTCGCAGAGAGCCTGGAAGCTTTGCTTACCCTAACACTGCTGGTTCTGGATAGTCAATTGCCTCTCTCTCCTTTACAAGACTGCCAGTCAGGTCAGGACCTTGTTCAAGATATCTCTTCTAAGGAAAGGTAAATGGCTTTTTTTTTTGTATTTATTTATTTTATATTTAGATTTTAATACATAATATTACGTATTTAGGTTGTATTGGTTTAGCTTTCCTTCTCTTAAAAATATCAACCTGACTCCATTGGACAGAGAGAAAGAGGTAAAGAGAACTTTGTACAGCTTGGGAGGAAAAATAAAATGTGAAGAACCCCCACCTCCACCCCCGTCTCTCTCACCTGAGAGTGATGCTAGGAGGTAAAGGCTTTCCCTTCCTCAAAGATCTCCTATCCCGCCGCTCTAAGTAAGGGGGCGCTGTTCTATCCAAGGCATCTCTCTACAGTTCTGTCTGCAAGATTTAGGGGTAACAAGACTTGGCCTATCGAGGTTCAGTTCCTATAAACACTGAGATCCCGGGCTCCGATAAAACCAGACGAACTAGCAGCTTTCCTGCTACGGCAAGAAGATCTGATTTTAGCCCAGCGTAGTCAATACAATAAACTTCCCAGACTTAAAGCGCTTCCCGAGGGATACTTTGAGCGCTCGCCATACTAGTGCGCAAATCCCCCTCCCGAGAGGGTGCCAGCGTAAGCCAGCCCCAGCCCACATGTGGGTCTGTACTGCCCGTCATCGCCAGCCGCACAAAGTCCTGAGTGCCCTAGATAAAGAAGGGGGCGGGCAGAGGATGTAGACGAGCCCCCAGAAGATAAAGAATCTTCTGCGGCAGTCCGGCTAGAGCATGCTTTAGAGCTCAATCCAACTCAGCTTCTCCAAAATGGTTCGCGTGGACTGGCGAGTTTTCCCGCACCTCCTCCCAGGGTCCCGCGCTAGCCCGACCGCTTGAAGTGGCCTTGCTCTGGGGCGAGGCCTCAAAGTTCCCGGGAGAGCAGAGCTGGACGAGATGGCGAGATAGCAGACATGCCGTGACCTCCAGTCACCTATGCAAACCTGATAAAGGCGCAGAGGGAAGAGTCCCAGACGCCACTCCGGACCTCGTTTTAGCCTACAGGCCAGGAGGCACGGAGGCAGAGGCTGCCAGGTCCCTGGAAGGCGAAGGCAACACCGCAGTGGGTGCTGGCGGAGAGCCCAGAGTCGCGTGTCAGGGTGACGCGTTTGCCTCTGGCTACTCCTGCGCTCGCCAAGCTTCGCAATACCCAGTGCTTGCACAGCGGGCTCATCTGAAAGGCTCAGATGGACCATCCTCAGGGATAGGGACCAAGTCACCAGGGCAGCTGATTAAGATGTCCCCAAAGCTTAGAGCCTATCACTGCTTCCCAGGGACATCTGCCCCAAGAGGGAGAGAAGCTAGGTTTTCGAAGGTGTGTTTCCTAAGCACGGCCTCAGGAAAGTTGTTATCCGGACACCTGCAACCCTGGAGTGGTCTCCTCTTGCTGTGGAGCTAGCATACCGCGCACTCTGGCTGCAGCGCAGCGCTGGCACGTCGCCCCCACATTGGCCCAGCTCACACTGCCACAGGCAGGCGCGTCTGCAGAATTGTCGCAGGGCTCCAGGCTACCCTCCTTGGAAGTTGAGTATCCTTTACTCCAGCTGTTTCTTAATCCCTTCCTCTCCCCCCTGCACCGCTGGTGCAATGAGGATCCAGACCCGGACTCCATCTGGCTCAGTTACTCCCAGGCCACCTACTGCCCCCTCGCGGAGTGCGTGGGACTCCCAGCTTGCAGACGCCCACAGTAGATAGCAAGCGGCACAAGGCGTGGTGGCTGCGGCGGTGGAGTGAGACAATTGCCAACAGCTGGCGCAGCTGCCGCGCTGCGCACGGGGACTGGCAAGTACGCAGTCCAGGTACTGCCCCTTCGCGGTGACGTCTGTGCAGCGGGTTATAAAAGCCTGGTGCGCAGCTTGCTGAGGTTCTGCTAACTCCGGAGCTGAGCAGGACCCGAGCTGAGGGCCGCCTGCGAAACTGCGGGCGGCTGCGGAGCGGCAGCGAAAGCAAAGGAGAAATCTCCAGCTAGACACTGGGCACCAGAATCCTGACCACAGACTCAGAACTTTTACAGGTTGCACCGTGACGCCCCCTCCCCGCCCCTTTTGCTCTCAAGTCCTCACGCAACACAAAAGGCTTTGCCTTTCCCGCTGCAGGAAGGGAAAATAGTTGGAAGCAGCAGGTGCAGAAAGATTGGGGTCTCCTGCTTCCTAGAACCAACCGTGACTGGAGGACTTTTTTTCCCTCTTCCAGTTTAAAGAAATGCTGTCTCCAGATTTCTGGACTCAGATGCTTCCTGAAGCTTGAAAGTGGAGGAATTCAGAGGCACCAGGGGCAGGCAGACAGCACATCTAGAAGCGTTTATCTTCTGAGCACCAAGCCCTGCTTGCAAAAAAAAAGTCCTGCCAAGAAAGAACATTCTGCCCTCTTGTCTGACTTAAGCTGGACCCTGAGCCCTAGTCGCCTGCCACAGGACTTACTGCAAAAGGGGTGTGTGTACAGAGAGGACTTTACAGCCTAGCTGCAAAATGGACAACGTCCTTTCGATGGACTCAGACCTCTTCCCAAATATCTCCACTAACACCTCAGAGCCCAACCAGTTCGTGCAGCCAGCTTGGCAAATTGTCCTTTGGGCAACTGCCTACACGGTCATCGTGGTGACCTCCGTGGTGGGCAACGTAGTGGTGATGTGGATCATTTTAGCCCACAAGAGAATGAGGACAGTCACCAACTATTTCCTGGTGAACTTGGCCTTTGCCGAGGCCTCCATGGCTGCATTCAATACCGTGGTGAACTTCACCTACGCTGTGCACAACGAGTGGTACTATGGCCTGTTCTACTGCAAGTTCCACAACTTCTTCCCCATTGCTGCTGTCTTCGCCAGTATCTACTCCATGACTGCTGTGGCCTTTGATAGGTGAGCTTGCCTTTTGTGGAAAAGAAAGTTCATGGATGACCATGGCATTACTATGGAGGTTTGGGGCTGGGTAGTGTATAGTCCAAGGGGAAGATTGGCTCACCCATGCCCTGAAGTTTTTACTGACAGCCAAAGAGGTAGTGAAATAAATGAGTCAGTTGTTGATCATGGATTTTATCTTATCTTTTTTCTTTTCCTTTTTTACCCATCACCAATCTCCCTCCCTTTCAACACACACTCCTCTTTTGTTATTTAACTCTACTTTCTTCATTCCTTCTCCACTCATCTTCCTGACCTTTCCTTTCAACTGCTTTTCTCCTTTCCATATATTCCTTCTCCCTTTACCCTTAAAGTCTGAAGGGGGATATTCAGGGCTCGGCCCCAGGGCTGGCTCCTGGCTAGGGCTTGTAAATTCCTCCAGGCCTGCTATTCTGCTGGGCAGCCTTTTGTTGCCTTCATGCTCTAAGTATGCCTAGGCAAAATACCTCATTTTCCACATTTGCCTGAAAATTCTGGGACTTTCTGCTCTCATTTCAACTCCCTGATATTATTTGGATATGAAAAGCATTTTATCAGAATCATAAAATACTTAGGATTTCTCATTTATCTCCCTCTGTGCTGCAAGGACATCTCATTCAGGAGTGAGAGGGAGCCACATCATTTTTAAGAAGCTCAACAGATAGGGATCCAGGGAGCTTACCTGGGAGGTTTTCTAAGTTTCTCTTGCAATGTAAGGTCAATGTTTTTAGCCTGTCTGTATCCACAGAGAAACGTGCTCGGCACAGGCAATTGAGAGCACTTCCCCTACTGCAACCAACAGGTTAGGGTTTCAGAAGCTGATTGAAACTGAAAAGGTTGACATTTTCAGATACTGGGGCTCTTCAGGGAGCTTGATGGAAATTGATTATTAGTGCACACCTCTATTGGTATTGACTTTCTCGTGGGTGTTCTGGGTCTTCAGGGTATGTGTGTGCACAGGTGTTAAATGTTTTACCTGGAGTGTGGAGGTATGTTTAAAATACCTGCCACTGTGGATTCATTTGATGTCCTTGATGAGCTAAAGGAATGTGAGAAACCCCAAAAAGGAGTGAGGACAAAACTTGAGAAAAAGATTTCCAAACTACAGTCCTCTTTTGCATGAAGATCATTTGACTTGTAGTAATTTATGGGAGAGCTTTTTCAGCTTCTGTATTCCATGAACACCTTTAAAATCGGGGAGATCTATACTTCTATCTTTTGCAGCAGTGTCCAAATACTGATTTGTTAGTTCCGTGTACATCTTCCTTTATACAATCCTTATGTGCTTAAGATGTCATCAGTTAAACAAGCTGTGCTGAATCAATTTATATTTTAAATGTAGAGGGTAAAATAATTACTCAAAAGTAGTAGTGAAATTAATTATTTTGCAAATTTATCTTTATGCTCTCTGGTTTTTAGATACTCATTTTGCTGAAAGGGATGTATACTTGTAAAAATCTTTCTGCACTGACCTGCTCCTTTAATCTTACAGCAGCTTCCTTAAATTAAAAAAAAAAGAAAATCCATAGCATAATGTGTAACTGAAAATCCAGGCAATGAAATCTGATGCCATTTCAGTCTTACATATGCTTTCTTTCCTTTTGATCCCTAAATTAGAGGGGGGTGGTGGTTTGTTTTTGTTTTGTTTTATTTTGTTTTTCCTACATGGGACCCTTGCACCATGGCTTTAGGAAGAGCTGTCAATCTGTGACCCAGAGCATTCTGTAGCTGATGGAGCTCTGTCCCTTTGGCTTACACAGTAACATGTCCCACATTTGGGCTCTTTCCCCTGAACTTAGGTTAAAGATAGGCTTCAGGATCAGAATCCTCACAGTGATGTGGGCAGAGAGCCAGATTTCTGCTCCAATGTTGTTTTTCTCTAGGTAAACCATGGCAGGACTCTGACCCTCCATGACACTTGCTCAGTGAAATCAGGTCTCAGATGCCAGAGCATTGGGAAATGACAGCAGCAAGAAATGTCCCCATGTCTCTAATGTGCAGATACGGCCCAGGGGGGTCAGCAATGGATAGAAGTAGGGATGAGGATTCAGGTCTCTATCTTCATGTCCTCCAAGTGCTCTGTGTGTTTTTCCTTTCTCAGCCTGGTGAGCACACCTCAGATTCATGCCCTCAGCCCCTCTAATGAATATATCTACTACATACATAGTCATCCATTCTCTCTCAAGAATATTTTAGAAAGAAAGGGAGACTTAAGTTCTCTCCATGTGAATTATCTCTCCTTTCTCCAGGTAATTAATTCGACATGGAAATGCAGACTTAGCAGAAATGTTAAGTTAGCTTTTTGTATGTTCCTTGAATTTTTAATGGACAACCTTTGAATCAAGACTTTAAAAAAAATAACAACAGTGTGGTTTTCCTGATTGAAAAATTAAACCTTGTTTATCGCAGAAGCCTTGGGAAATACAAAGAGCATAGACACAAAATACAAATCACCGTTACCTCACCATCTGAAAATAACACCTGTTAACATTCAGATTTCTGTTTACAAATATTACACTATATAATTGAGGTCAAATTCTATATAATTTGTACCTTACTTTTTTCCATGGATGTTAATGAAAAATATTAACACTTTCCCAGGTTATGAAAAAGTCTTCAGGCACATAATCTCAATGGCTCCATGTTATTCCATTTTGTGAATATGCTATTATTTACCTAACCATTTCTCTATTGTTGGGTATTTAAGTGATTCCTAGATTTTTTTGCTATTATGATTGATCTCATGAATATGATAGTTTTGTTTTGCCTTCTTGATTTTTTTCCCCTTAGGATAGATTCTAAGAACTGGAATTACTGCCTCAAATGAGATTAATTTAAAAAGAAAACCTCTACCTTCTAATTTCATAGCATTTTTAAAAGAATTATTGGGTGGAACCATCTTGGTAGACTTTGCCTAATTTAATTCTGAAACTAAAATGTACTAGAGAAAACATTTTAGCTGCTTGTTGTAGTACTAATTTAAATGTTTCCTGTAACCTTTTCATAAATAGAGGGCCCAGGGAAAAAGACAGAGAGAGAAAGAGAGGAAAGGGAGGAAAGAGATATCCCCTTCAGAAAGAATATTGTTTTAAGGTAGTGGTGACCTAGAATAAAAAAAATTTCAAAGATAAATATAGCTAAGTAAGATCACGTCTCTACCTCTGTTTAAAATCCAGTAAACACCAGGCATTTTACCTGTTGGAACTCTGCAATTTCTCTCCAGATTTAAAATTCTTTCCTACTGTAAAAACTAGAAGGTGTGTATGACATTTCATGCAGTTTCAAGACAAGAGACACTGAGAATCGACACACCCGGTTCACAGGGGTCAGTGACAGTGACTGGTTCTGTTGTGGTGTTGGAACTAAGAAGGAAGCAGGGGGTCATCTCTAAGCCCCACAGGAACAGAGAAGGGACAAGAGGTAACCTGACGTGGAACTGTGTGTATAGCAACAGGAGGCTCAGAAGACAATGGCCTGGTGTCAATGCTTCTCTGCCTGGTAGGGGCGAGTGTCATGTCAGTGAGATGAAAGGGACAGGTTGTTCACTACTCAGACTGGTTTTGGATAAGAATGTTTGAAAGAAAAGAAATATCCAAGTAGGGATGATCTCCAGGCAAAACAAGGAACGGAGTAACAGTTGCAGGCAAAAGAGGAAATGAGCTCTCTGAGAGAGCAAAAGAGGAACCTGGAACAAAGACATGCATTAACAAAACTTTGCCCACTGACCCCTGCTGTCCCTTCCTCTCTGTCCCAGCCATACCCCCTCTACCAATGGAAGTAGCCCACTTCCTAGGTCTCTTCTAAACCTGCTGTCTGTCCTTAAACCTTACCTGATTGGCTGGACCCAGATCCCAAATATAAGGGTCCCATTGTACCAGAGAAGATGTTTAGAGACCTTTTTGACAATTTTCCACCCAAATAAAACTTTAACCCCACAACCTTCCAGACAGGACCATCCTTAAGAGTACCAGACTCTGCTTAAATATTTCACTCAAGTTGCGTCATTTGTTAAATTCAATCAATTGTTAAATTATTAGAAAATTCTAACTTTTGTTGAACTGAAATCTGCCTCCTTGGTTTTGGACTATTCCTAGTTGTCTCACACCTCGTCCATGTGGCAGCCTTTCCAACATCCCTCCTGAATCTTCCCATCTTTCCATCCTTGCCTGTCTCTATTGGCTATTCCCATTTGTCAATGGTCCTCTTGAAAGGGGGTGATCTGACAGAGCATTACCTGATTACCATTACCCTGTCCACGACCACCTGCTGTAGGACTGGCATTCACCTGCTAACCTTGTTATCCTCCAGCTATCCAGGCATACTGGAAATTCACAGACATTTTATGGACCCTTCTCTGGTCCAACTGTTATCTGCCCCCTGCCTTTTTCTCCAACAAGGAGCCTCCTCCACTAAGAAACTGACCTTGACCTGCAAGTCTGGATGTGATATCCTTCTTATCTATTCACATAGCATTTGCCCAATGATGTTGTAACGATCTGTACCTTGTTAGTCTCTCCCACATCTCCCTGCCCACTAGACTGCAAGTTCCATAAAAACAGAGATGTTTTGTCTGGTTTCCTGTTCCCAGAACCTATCCAAGTGATATATGCATGTTATGAATGAACTGACTGTGCACACATTGATCAGAATCCAAAACCAGACCGAATGCCTCAAGTAAACCCTAAAGCACACCTATGATGTTATCTTTTAAAGCAAAAGAAAAATTGGGCCAAATTTCTGCCTGCCATGGAGTTTTGTTATAACTCAGAACACTTTTGATTCAGAAGCCCCTATTCCGGAATAACTATGGCTTCTAATTCACACTTGCCTCTTCCACACTCCAGGTGACTGAGCCCCCCAGGATTCCTGACCCACACCCCGATGCCTCCAGCAGGTACTGTGGCTAAATATAAGACATCCAGTCAAAGGAGGTGTTCATCACTTCCGTCATGCCTCCTAGCTATCCAGGCGTACTGGAAGCT